AGCTCGGAATGAGGTGATTTTTGAAGCAATTTTCACCATATGAATTAGGGTAAGTGTTCTCTACTCGGTTTTTGTTATATTCCATGAATCTATCTTCGATTTTAGCTTTTGGTTGATGTATTTTAAGGAGGAAAGTGGGGGTTTTGGCCTAATGTTTCATAATATGAATTTTTCAGTTTTCAACATCGAATTGGAGTAGGAATTGAGTGAAACTAGTATGGTTGGACTCGTAATTGAATGGGTTATCGGATTATGTGAGTTTTGTCGGGTTCCGAGGTGTGGTCCCAGGTGTGATTTTTGGCTGGATTTGGCATTTGATTTAGTATTCGATCTTTTATCATTTGGAATTGTTTCCTTGGCTTTATTTGATGTATTTGAGTTTCTTTTGGCTAGTTTTGAGCCGTTCGCAGGTCGCTATACGCGTGATGGCATTCTTGGAGCATCGCTTGGCTTGCTCGATATGGAAATTGGCTTATTCGAGGTAAGTAACTCTTCTAAACTTAGTGATGAGGGTATGAAACCCCGAATTACGTGCTATGTGATTGATGTTGAGGTGACACACATGCTAGGTGACGGGCGTGTGGGCGTGCGCCCTTTGAATTGTGACTCCATTATTTCTATGGCACTGTAAAGTGGCCCTATTTTTTTGATATCTGTGTTTTCACCATGTGATAAAGTAACTGAGCTGTCAATTATGCTAGATATCATGTTTAGACTTTATGCTGACATTGCTAGGACCCATGGTGGTCGTTGCTTGCTGTCATCTCACTGATTTCATTGATATTTCGTACTCAGTCATATTCGCGCATTCATATCATATCTCAGTCTCAGTTGTTATTTATTGATACATCATATCACTGTTCCAGGATTGTTTTCATGACATTGTGAGCCTGTGGGTGAGACTGGAGAGAGTGATGACTGAGTGAGGCCGAGAGCCTAATTATGAGTGACAGTTATGGGATCGGGCTGCACGTCGCAGCGGTTATATCGATGATTATGATAGCGCTTGGGTTGTAGGAGCCCCTTCGGAGTCTGTACACACCCCTAGTGAGCGCATGTGATATTATTGAGGGATGGATTTCCCTGGACATGGATTTGTCTGAAGTACTTGATACCAGGAGATGGATTTCTCCGCAGGGTTGGATTGCCCTTTTTCCTCGGTATTAGATGACTTATAGTTAGTGTTGTATATGTTCCGGGATGGATTTTCATGGGCTTTATGGGCCATATACAGTACTGAGTGGTTGAGCACGATGAGTGGAAAGTGTGAGACAGTGAGATTGAGTACTCCAGTGTGAGTACACTATTCATCTATGAGATACATGGCATTGGCATGCACACATGACATACAGGCATAGAGATGTATTTTTTCTCATGTTGTACGGTATCACATCATTCATGACTTTTTTTACACACATTGATATGTGGGCATAGAGAGGTATTTCACACTTGCTGTCTGGAAAGAAAACAAAACATCTAATTTATTATGGAAAGAATTTTTGGAAAAATGTAGAGTTTTCAAACTATCTCATATTTTACGACGATTTCGGTAAAGGATTTGTGTTTTTCACTGATACTCTTGAAAAGTGGAATTATTTTCGAAAACCTGTGAAAAAGCTGAGCATATTTATCTCTAAGTTACTGTCCTATTTATATGCTCTACGTTTTTATGAACTGCTACTGGTTATTGGTGTTGGACCCGACCTATGTTCCAGCTCGTCACTACTTTCAACCTAAGGTTAGGTTTGTTACTTACTTCGTACATGGGGTCGGTTGTACTGATACTATATTTCAGCACATTGCATGCAGATGTTGGCTGTTGTTGTTGCTATGCTCGATGGTTGCCAGATTTGAAGATCTACCTGCGTTTTCCGTTATAGCTGCCTCTTGTTCATGGTAGCCTTAGATTTACAAAAAACTTTGTTTATGTACTTTTCAAACAGAAGATGTATTTACTTAGAAGCTCATGATTTGTACTACTAGTCCTTGGGAAAGGTTTAAGATTTAGATAATTCCTTTATTGGATTGTCTTATTACTATTATTGAAATTGGGCAGTTATTAGGTGGCTTACCTAGCGGGCTGGATTATGTGCCATTACGACTAGCGAATTTTAGGTCGTGACAGGGAGACTCGGAATTTTTCACTGGTGATGGATGTGGTGACGTGGTAGATTTAAAGGGAGGTGTCGTGGTATATGTTAATTGCGGATAACATTGTATTGACTGACGAGACGCGAGGCGGGGTTAACACTAGGCTGGAGGTTTTGAGACAGACCCTGGAGTCTTTCAAGTTGAGCATGACCAAAACAGAATACTTAGAGTGCAAGTTCAGTGAGAGGACTCATGAAGCAGAAGTGGACATGAAGCTTGATAGTTAAGTCATCCCTAAGAGAGATAATTTCAAATATCTCGGGTATGTAATCCAAGATAACGTGGATATTGAGGAGGATGTTACACATTGTATTGGATCTTGGTGGATGAAACAGAGGCTAGCATCTAGTATTTCGTGTGATAAAAATATGCCATTAAAATTTAAGGGTAAGTTCTACAGGGTGGAGGTTAGACCAGCTATATTATATGTGGGCGAGTGTTGACCAGTCATGTCTAGAAGATTAAAGTAGCAGAAATGAGAATGTTGAGATGGATGTGTGGGCATATCAGGAAAGATAAGATGAGGATTAAGTTATTCGGGATAATGTGGGAGTGGCCCATGTGAAGGATAAGATGCCAGAATCGAGGATGAGGTAGTTCGGACATGTGAAGAGGAGAGGCATAGAGGCTCCTGTTAGGAGGTACAAGAGTGTAACTTCCCTGACTTTAGACAGAGTCTCGCATCGGCAAAACACAAGAGGGATGCTGAGTATATAAGTTAACAAGCCTTAGACCCTAGTAACACATTTTAAATCCGTGAGGGCCTAGGCCCAGAGCGGACAATATCACTAGCGGGCTGGGCTGTTACAGATAGTATCAGAGCCACTCTTGTGTCAGTCTTGCCGATGGTGGGTCAGAGTTCAACTGAGTTTAGTCAAATCCTGGTTAGACGGGGCGAACCTCAGTGCTGAGTCTAGGCAAATCCCATGCGGTGGGGCAAACCTCAGTGAGGACGCCGAGTCCATAGGAGGGGGTGTATGTAACACCTCTGTCTTCGGACAGAGTCCCACATTGGCAAAACACAAGAGAGATGCTGGGTATATAAGTTAACAAGCCATAGACCCTAGTGACACGTTTTAAATCCGCGAGGGCCTAGGCCCAGAGCGGACAATATCACTAGCGTGCTGGGCTGTTACAAAGAGGTTGACCATGATGGGTCTGAGAAAGAGTAGGTAGGCCAACGAAGTATTGGGGAGAGGTGATTAAGCAACACATAGCATTGCTTCAGCTTACCAAGAACATGACTCTCGATAGGAAGATGTGGAGGGCAAGAATTAGGGTTGAAGGTTGATAGGTAGTCGAGAGTTTCTCCTAGTCTTACCAGTATATTAGTAATATTCTTTGTATTTTTTATTCTTAGATCTTTAGTTCTATCTGTTGTTGTTCGCTTCTGTTATCTTATTACCTTGTTGTTGTTATTGTTGCTACTTCCTTTCCATTGTCCCTTGACCCGAGGGTCTATTGGAAATAACTTCTTTACCTTTACAACTGCGTCCACATTATCTTGCGCAGACTCCACTTGTGAGATTATACTGAGCATGTTATTTGTTATAAACTACGTGGTTTTAATCAGAAGAAACTTCATTTTTTTTAGCACAACTTCCCACATTATCAAATTTTCTCCACACTTGTGACCTCCATTTGTTTAAAAACCTGCACCTGCACATTTGTTCGCCTCTCCAGATATATGCTATAGTAGCCTTATTAATTTCCAATAGAACGCTTACCGTCTTCGATAATGGACGTTATAGTGTTACGCAAACATAGTTCATCTAACAATTATAATTGAAGGCCCATCCATGTTGAAATTATGAAAGTATCTTTTTTAAATTTTTCATGTGTAAAAGATAGATCTCTTATGTTTAAAAACAAATTTTTCATGTGTAAAAAGGATAGATAGGGTCATAAAACTAAAAACAAATTTGTAATAACCCACAAAACCAATTGATTGATGGTGCTCCATAATACGTTAAGCTGTACTTACAATAGAAGAGCAATTTATACAAAATACCCATTCAATTAAACTAATTACACTTCTCTACCCATTTGAAAACTAGTTACATTATACAAAAAAGGGCCAAATATATCCCTCTCATCCCCGTTATACTTTCCGTTCATATATATGCCCCTGCCGTCCAACAAAGTTCTATATTTATCCCTATTTTAACGGTCATGACACGTGGCATCCTTTAAGCACAAGACCTGACCCACAACTTAAAACACCCATACCCCTTAAAACCCACGACCAAATTATCACATTAAAGAATTCGGGTCGCGTTGGACACTTATGCTCTGAGATTTCTCCGATGACTAGTACTAGTCGTTTCTTTCATCTTGTGGGTGTGAAGGGGAGTAGAGAGAGAGTGGGGCTAGACAGGGTCGGTTATCGACCGAAAATAATGGAGGATCAGTGGCTTTTCCGGTGATGGTGGTCGTTTCCCGGCCAGGAACTGCCGGAAAAGAGGTAGAGGAAACGATGGGCGCATAATACGACGTCGTTTTTGAAATTTTCACACTCTCAATGGGCTAATCTTCCTCTAACAGTCCGATTTTAGAGCCCTGTAAACATCGTAATTTCACTGGGCTGCTACTGCTCTTAATTCTCCTGAATGGGGTTTGTCTATTTTATGTAAAGTTTTTGACTTAATTGTTGAATTGGGTTGTTTCCTTCTTTAACTATCTGTTTGCCAGGTTCGTCTGATTTTGATTTAGTCTCTTAGTTCATGATTTGTATTAATTTATTTGAAAAATTGGAAGATTAGTATATTACGTGTTTGTAATGGTTGTTTTTGGGGGTGGGGGGGGTGGAGGGGTCGGGGAACAAGAAATGAGTTTTAATTTTAGGAAAATTTTTTAAAAGGGGATCCGGGTCAGATGAGTTATATTTTAGGCATGTTTGGGTTTTTTTGTTTTGTTTTGGGATTGGTTCTTTCAATCAAACGGTGCCACATGTCATGTCCGTTAAAATAGGGATAAATATAGAACTTTGTTGGACGGCAGGGGTATATATGAACGAAAAGTATAACGGGAATGAGATTGAATAATAAATAAAACAATAAATAAAAGTAGAGAGATATATTTGGCCATTTTCCGTACATGATATACCTACCCAATTGAAACTAATTACCCAAGCTACCTACCCATCCCACTTTTCTTATCCATTTGGCTTAATATAACTTAATTTGGTTTGGATTCGTTTGACTTAGTTTGGATTGAACTTGGCTTGGCTTGGCTTGGCTTGGCTTCCCATGTCCTCGCTTTGGTACTTTCTCTTATTACCTTTTAATTATTAGTTGGCGTAGTATGATGAAAATTTGGTTAGGGTAGGGTATTTGATTCATTATGATGGAATTTGTGTAGGTGTACTGGATTTATCGACTAGCAAATCAGAAGCAACCCCCGAGGCTTAAAAAACACTAGGATTCACTTCATTTTTTGGATCCTATGTCTCTTTTTTTTGTCCTGTTGAAATTTTATGTTTAGGGATCTTTGAATTGCTTGAGAATTTCAGTTGTTGAAAGTTGAATGGGGTTATTTGGTTTGTAAATTTTGTTATAGACTGGATATTTTGTGCTTCAACTTGTACTGGGTTGGAACCCCTTGGTCCCTTCTTACCACAATTTCACTTTTGGTTAATGATTGGCAACTTTAGATATTAGAATTTCTTGAGAATTTGGGTTCTTGAAATTTTAATAGGTAATCTGTTATCTAACCTAGACATGAATATGAGCTTCCTATTCCCTTTTTTTTTTAAAATTTTTTATTGTTAAAGTTATTTCATTGAAAATCTAGCATCAAGAAAGTGTAAAGGTATATACATAGGGAGCAGATTATCGCTGCTGCAAGTGTAAAGAGCTCAAAAAATCTATAATGCCTGCCCCTCTAACCTTCTTCACCTTAAATATCAGGCTTTTGTATGCAACAAGGTTCGGATATGTGACGTGTGCTTAATCCACATATCACGCATTACACTCTTACCACTAGACCAAAGCCTTGGGACTATCTATTACTCACGATGAGTAAAATGTGATGAGATAATCTAACTTTAGAATCTTTTTATTTGATTAAGAAAGAAAGAGGAAAAGAAGCAATGAGCTGTTTGTGCTTGTAGCATTTCAAAATTGTTGAAATTTGAGCATGCATCAACACTTATATGCTGTTCTCAACTTTTGAGAAGCTACAGGAATCTAGAAGAGGAATTAAGAAGAAAAGAAAAACGAGTTTCCAAATTGGGTTCGCAGTTAGCAACTTTGATTTTTGTGTTCTATAAGTCCATTTAAGCTCAAATGATCATGATTTTGATTAAAAGATTCATTTGAAATTGTGTTTTTTCCTATATTCTACTTTCTACCCCTTGATCCAATTTATATGCGACATTTTCTATTTAGCGAGTCCCCAAATATGACATTCAAAAATTCAGAAACTTATGTTCAATCAATTTTTTGAGTTTGAACTTTGATGATGCTGTTTGATCATACTGACTTTTCAAGAACTATTCAAATGCTTTCATCCACTTTAGCTTACATAATAACAAATCAAAAAAATTTTTTTAAGCTTTGTTATCAAGTCAAATGGTGTTGCATAAATGGGAGAGTGGGAGTATTTGTGATGCTAATGACCCATCCAAGATAATGCATTTACTTTATTTTGGATTCACAGTGGGTTAATAATTTCTTAAGATCCAGAGGGTTAAACAAAACTCTCTTCTTGTCAATTGAAGAATTTTGTGTGAGAAAATCCTGTGTTTTCGTATTTATTCCTTCGTTGTTCTTTCGTTATGGTGGTTCGAGGCTTTTGTTTAATATACTGATTCTACATTCTTCATCCATATTCAAATGGTTTTCTTCTTTTAAAATTCTTTTTAGATTTGTTCATCAAATTCAAATGATTTTGTTCTTTTAAATTTCTTTTTAGATTTTGTTTTTTCTCTTTATGTATTCCTACTATTAATAAGCGGGAAACGAGAGCTGCATCCGGTTAGAAAGCGGCTCAGAAGGGTGTTTGTAATTTAATCAAAATGCCTAACATTATAATTCGACACATCCTGCCCGCTCTCTCCAGGTTTGACACGTTGCTACCTAGCAAAATTTTGGGTTGCACTCGGCTTCCTCTGTTTTCTTTGTGCAAATCTTTGATGATTTCTCAAGTTCCCGCTCTTCTTTACTCCGTCTTTCAGTTTGCCCAGACTAGCTCTTCCAAGTTCTTGCTATTTGTCTGATATAAAGTACAGGTATGATTACCACCGTTATTTGGATTTGAGATTCAGTTGGTTTTTAATCTGAACAATGTTTGCTTTTCATGCTTTGGACTTGGATAAAAGGTTTAGATTATTTTTCTGCGAAATTTTAAGCTAATTTGTGATGTGTTGTTGCGCTCACTGTTCTGCGTCTTCAACTAGCTCTTTCTCGGGCTTACTCTTAATTTTCATCTGTTCTACTTATGTCGAACGAAGTGCAGTAAGAACATATTTGAGTCTGTTATTATACAAATTGCCTTTGGGTTTGCATTAGAAGTGTTTGCAAAACTGTCGGAAAGAAACTACGATAAACCTAAACTGTTTTTTAATATGTTGTTTCAAGAAATTAACTCACACCTTCAAATGATATATACGTTTGGTTTACCTTTATAAAATCAGCTTCTGATGACAGTTCCTGCAATCAATTTGATAACTCTATTTCTTCAAAATTTGAACTTTTTGCTTTTTGGGTCTTTTTTCCTGGTTGATTCTTGAAGTTCTTGGAAGCTGTTGCTTCTGATGGGCTCTTTCAGTTCTGGTCTTGTGTAAACATTACTGTAATCTTGAGAGTTGAGAAAATTATTGGAAGAAAAATGAGAACTTTTGCTTTTTTAACAGTTTTAGTTACTTTGGACTATATATTGTGATCAGTGATGCTTTTCCATCAAATGTGGGTGTGTATTATTAATTCCAGCTTAGATCTTAGTGTACTTAAGATACTTTGGAGTTTGGTCAATTAGTTCACAAGAAAAAGAGATTCTTGGAGTTCCTTGACATGTGGGATGCTACTACATAGAAAACAAGCCATGAGAAATTCATGGCTCCCAATACTTTGGAAGAATTTGATGTAATGTTTGGTCAAAACATAAATCTCATTACCTACTCCATAGTTATGTTTTTGTTTTTTGTTTTTGTTCAATTAGTTGTGGACCAAATCAATTTGTGAAATACTTATAAGTTTACGTGAACATACAATTTTAGCAAAGGATTCATAAACTAGCAACAAGTTTGTAAATTTGTTGTTCTTATACATTAGCCTTTGATATGCCACCAACTTGAGCTTGTGGGTGCTATTCATTGTTGGGAAGATTGAGAAATATCTAGAAATGCCACCAGCTTGAGCTTGTGTAGGCCCTATTCTACACAAAGATAAGTTTACTTGGATAAAAAGAGATTTAAGGACTAGCTAGAGGATGAAGTAGCTTTTTGTCAAAAGTTATTAATTGGTGCATGAACATTGATTAACGAGGGTCCGAAGCCATGAAGACAAATAGCATATGAACATTTGATGTTCCATTAATGGAGTATAATTTAGTTGATGATAAATGATTAGTTGGCAATTGCATGGAATTGTTTACATGTCTCCCCTACCTCTACTGTGTTTGATTTGATGAAACTCTGTAGCTATTCCTCCAGGAAGCTAGAAATATTTGATTGAGCATTTTTAATCTACACCATATTTCCTTATGTTCTAAACTTGGATAAAAGATTTAAGACTACATTTGTCTAAAATATTAAGCTAATTGGTGATATATTGTTGCACTCGCATAAAAGTGTGTTTATTTTTATAGGCAAAATAGCCGGAGTGTTCCATGGATCACAAGTTATGGATATTTCATGGCATATCGACGACGCATTGTTGCGAGAATGATCAAGTTGTAGATCCTGTTTGGATTGACAAAATTAAGGGAAATTTTGCTACATCCATGTCAAACATCACCTAGGTGGACTTGAAGGTAATATTAGCTTGGATCAGACCATTTCTTGGAAATAATTTGACATGCTTCTAATAATAAGTTCTTCCTGGAGTGTTATGTGGAGATTTTTTTGCATTATCATCGTGTAATTAAGAAGTTTTACCTGTCATTTGAGATTATAGCTCTGGAAGTGCTTATTATATAATAGTTTTCTTCTGTAACTTTCTAGAAAAAGAGGCAAAACATGGGTAATACGTATTTCACTTTTAAGCTTCTTTTAAATGGTCTTTTCTTTTCGTACATATATTCTACGAAGTCTATATTGGTGGAGTTATTTAGTTTCCAAAGATTCATTTCTTGGAAATCATTTGACATACTTTAGCTAATAATCAGTTCTTCCTGGAGTGTAATGTGGATAATTTTTTTTTTTTTTTGCATTATCATCCATTTAATAAACTTTGGTTACATTAATTTTGGTGCGATTGATCAATGCTCATTGGCATCGAGAGAAAAAGCATATTATCATGAGACATTTCCTTTTCTGAAACTGTGATAATCCAGTAGTAAATGTTTTCTTCCCAGATGCAGGTGGGTAAGAACAACAAGGATATTAAATTTGAAGAAGAAACAGAGGAGCCAAGATTGGGAAAGTTTGTGAACTTAGGTTTGTACTTTGCGAAAGATACAGAGTCCCTGATGAGGTTGTTGAAACAATATGTTAAATATGTGTAAAGGACATTTACGTAATGACTACTTTTTGAACTGTGACGATCTATTAAACAATTGCTTCTCAGTGCAGGTGGTTGAGAACAGCAAGGGTACAGATTTTGTTGCAGAAGAAGAGGAGCCAAAATTCGCAATGGCTGTGGAAGACATCAAGTTGAGTTCTCCTAAGAATAGGGAGTCCAATACCAATGAGGTTGTCAAATCAGACATCTGAACGTGGAGACAACAAAATTGACACTATCCAAAGATGTTGAAAGTCTGTAGAAGACATCAAGTTGAATTATCCTAAGAATAGGAAGTCCAATGCTAATGAGGTTGTCAAATCAAAACATCTGAACATGGAAACAACAAAATTGACACTATCCAAAGATGTTGAGGAGCTATAGTCTAAGATAAATTCGCTGGATGCTCATCTAATTGAGGTTAGTCTTCTCGTACTATATTCTGGTACTCTACAATTTGAGTTTGGTTGTGTACTAACATCGGATCCTTCAATATTTGTTGAACTGGTATTGACTTGTCAGTAAGCAACTGTTAGAGTAGCCTGCGGACTCCTCCCATTGGTGGAATTATTTAGTTTGCAAATATTCGTTGAAGCTTTAGATTAAATCAGTTTTATTTAAGCATTTAAGCAAAATATGGGTAATATTTATTTCACTGTTGAGCGTTGGATTGAGGCACTATTTATTGATTTGATAGATTGTTTTGACATCTTTTAGCTAATAATCAGTTCTTCCTGGAGTGTTATGTGGACATTTTTTTTGCATTATCATCGTGTCATTAGAAAGCTTTATGTGCCATTTAAAATTATAGCACTGGAGGTGCTCACTGTAGTAATAAGATAGTTTTCTTCTGTAACTTTATAAAGAAAAAGGCAAAATATGGTTAGTACGTATTTCACTATTGAGCTTCCTTTAAATGGTCTTTTCCTTTTTGTACATATATTCGACAAAGTCTATATTGGTGGAATTATTTAGTTTGCAAATATTCGTTGAAGCTTTAGATTAATTCAGTTTTATTTAAGCATTTAAGCAAAATATGGGTATTACATATTCCGCTGATGAGCTTCAGATTGAGGCACAGTTTATTGATTTGATTGATCCCCGATATTGTGCATATTAACAGGTTCACCTCTTAATCTAGGCAAGAGTAGATGCAGTAGGTGTTATTGGGAAGTCTATTGATCCTGTCATATTCCTACATCATTGGCCCTTCCTTCAAATGAAAAATAATATAAACAAGAACAAATAGATGAAAAAGGAGAGAAAAAAGTTACTTAATAAACGGAACAACGCACTAGATGTGTCAGAGTCATACTGAGTTATTCACCTTGATAACTCTATGAGGGGTGAATAAAACCTTGATTTAGCGAGAAATAGGGTTTGATAAAGCTACTTGCATTTTTGCTCTTAAGGTGGTCATCTATGTCGTCAGGAGATTTTGTTTGAGTGGTTTGCTCCTTTACAAGTTAGGCATGGTTGATCAATTATTTGTCCAATGGCCACTACTGAAACAGAAATATTCTCGAGCTCATTATCTGGCTTCTCTTATGTAAATAGAGCCGTTCCCAAGGCACCACTCATAGTCGACCTCCTTTGTGCGCTCCGAGGAACTTAATGTTACTACTTTTCTTAGATAATATTCCCTCCGGTCCAAAATAAGTGATTTTTTGGCCTTTTTCTTGTGGTTCAAAATAAGTGATTTTTCCAGATTTTAAGAATGAATTAATTATTTTTTTCCTACATTGTCCTTGGAGTAAATAGTGTTGGAATATGTGTTAGGAGTGTTTACGTGAGATAGTAAAGGTTAATATGATCAATTTCATTGCTAATTAATGCTAAAAGGTAAATTTCTTAATCTGTGTGAAAACATCCAAAAAATCACTTATTTTGGACCGGAGGGAGTAATGCCAAAAACCGAACTTCAAAAAAGTCAAAAATTAAAATCACTTTTCCTAAATGAAGTCACCAGAAAATTCACCATTTTTTGAAACCCCAAGTCTGTATTGCTGCCCATATTCGACTTGATGTTTAGGCTAACTAGAAGAGGAGAAAGGGGCAGAAACAAAAGAAAATTTCCTCTTTTTTGTGCAAGTATAATTTTTTAAAATCTTTTTTCTTTTCTTTTTTTTTTTTGGTATTTTTAATTAGAATCATCAAATCTTACTCACGTCTTAACTCTGAAACTTTCAAGTTAGTGACGGAGCTTGTGATAATAGGTGAATTTGACTATAATCACACCTTAAATAATCACCTTCTTATGTAGTTTTAATGCTAAAAGTGATAACAAAATGCTCTTATTAGTGCTTTTCATGATTTGCAGGTGATATGTGTACAAGGAATGTTAAGGAGCAGTTTTGGAGTCAAAAATTGGAGAAAAGAGGCCAAATATGTAAATTCCCAATGAAGCCACGCCCTGCTAGCCCTTAGAATTCAGAGAACTGGTTTGGCCGCGGTTCTACCGCGACCGCGGCAGAACCGCGGTGGAAAGCAGCTGCAGAACTTCAGTGATTCCGCGAGGGTGATTGGCCGCGGTTCTACCGCGACCGCGGCAGAACCACGGCAGGCGCAGAAAGTTCAGGGGTCAAAGTGTCAAATTCGGGATTTTTAGATCTAAACCCTATTTAAAACATTACACTTCGCCCAAGAGAGGCATGTATTGATTTTTAAGGTTTCTTAGCAAGGAAAACCATTGTGGGAGAATACTCCAACCATCTTTCTTCCTTTCTTTTGATTTTTATGATGAATTCAATCTTAGTTTATTTTCTCATAGCCATGAGTAGCTAAATTCCTTGTCTAAGGTTTTGATGGAACCTATTGGGTGATGAACTTCTTGTTTATGTGAATACAAATTGCTAGTTTAATCTCTATTTGTTCAACTTCGTGTCTGTTGTAGTTAATTGACAGGATCCTCAATTAGCTGTGCCTATTTAGTGTGCATAACTTGGAAAAGAGTGCATATTTAGGGTATTGTTGAACAACACCACTCCTAGATTATTAGAGGAATCTATAATTACGGGTTTAAATGCGGGATTAGGGATAACGAAGACTTGGTTGTAATCTAAAGTGAATCGTGCTAAATAAAGTAAGCTAGTGTATCTCGGGAGAGTGCAATAGTAAATTACTGTGATTACTCGGGAGAGATTTACGGTAAGATTAGCGTTCATGATTGATAGAGATGTGTTGGTAAATTTGTATGAGCATAAACAGAAGGGATTCCATCAATAGGGGAAATCATTGCCTTAGCATTTTTCTCATAATTGTTTACAACCTTATTAGTTTAGTTTGCAGCTATTTAGTTACTTGCAAGCTAGTTGTTAAAGAACACTCAACTGAGATTTGAATATTTGGGAAGCTGGTTCTGAAGAATTAGTGGGTCTAAAGATAGTGGTTGATAGGTTAACTCTCTGTGGATTCGACCCTGGGCGTAATACTCGGGTTATATTTACAACGTCCGCAGAGTCCTTTTTATAAGGCATAGTTGGGCGTGATCAAATTTTGGCGCCGTTGCCGGGGACTTAACGGAATTATCAATTGCCATTGACAGAAATACAAAGATTCTTATTGTAGTCAGTTTTCTCTCTACCAACTTTTTCATTGAAAATTTGACGGTTGTTGGTCTGGGTGCACAGGTGTATGCCTAGAAATTCTACGAGGACTGGAGAACTACTTGAAGGACTTTCAGACCCTGAGAAAACATTCCGGGCATTGAATCGTGCTAACAAAAGACTTCAACAACCCCAACAAACACACAAATTCGAAATTGACATGGGCGACATAAACGACCCCAACGTAAACGTCAGGAATGAGCAATTGGCACCTCCCGTGCCTGAGGGTGCACTATATGACTGGGCACAACCCACAGCTGACAATCTGGCCACTGCCATTGTTGTGCCCGCAATACAAGCTGAATCGTTCCAGATCACAAATAACATGCTACACTTGTTGCAGAACAAGGGACTCTTTTCTGGGACACAAACAGAAGATCCTCAGCAGCACTTGAAGAACTTCCTGTCTATATGCAAAACTCAAAGGCAACCCAACGTGACTCCGGAAGCAATCAAGCTATTATTGTTTCCATTCTCGGTGACAGGAGCTGCTCAGGTTTGGCTAAACTCGCTCCCCATAAACTCTATAGAAACTTGGGCTGAGTTGGTCAAGCAATTTCACAACAAGTTCCATCCGCCCAACAAAACTGCTCAACAAATTGATGAGATTGTGAGTTTCAAACAGAAACCAATGGAGACACTACACGAGACATGGGGCAGGTTTAAAGGAATGTTGGTTATGTGTCCCCACCATGGTGTTCCAGAACAGATGTTGGGACAACGGTTTTACATGGGACTGTCAGACAGCATGAAGAATATCGTTGATGCCTCTGCTGGTGGGGCATTCTTGAGCAAGACTTGGAGAGAAGGTCAGAATTTGCTCGACAAGATGGCGCAGAATTCGGGTTGGACAACTAGGAACGCACCTATCACTCCAGTGGTGCACTCAGTGCCTCTTGATCCTTCTAATACAATGGCTGAAAATATGGCGACTCTCTTGACACAAATGAGCATCCTCAC